TTTGTTTTATAGGAGTCGGGCATGCAACACAGATGGCTTAGCTGAGTGTTTAATGTGAGTCATATGAATGACATCACTGACAGCGAGATCATATTTCGAGGAGGAAAAATAAAAGCGGAAACAAAATCACTCAGGAAAGTTTCATTGTTCACTGCATTATGATAACAGCTGCAGATGTGTGAGAGTGTCTGCTTTATTAACATCAGAGGAGCGAGAGAGAGGGACTGTGGCAGGGATGGCAGATCGTCTCTGAGTGTCTGATTTATACATAACTGATTTATTCATTTTTTGTGGAGAAAAAGGGCTCAAGCTGCCCAATACTGGTCCTGTTGACTGATATCTGTAAATAAGGGGCCATTAAGAAACATAGTGCTGATGTTTATCTGTAGTGTTGTATTAAAATGTCAGTGCAAAATGGAAAAAAAATTGTGATGGAGAGATTATTTTTAAGATAACCTCTTTGTTTCCCTGACACAAAGGAACAATATAAACAAATAAGCATAAATTAAAAAGATGTCACAACTGCTTATTGGCCAAATTGTACTTGTAAGTATCAGTACTGACCCACAGTTTTATAGATGCAGCCCATTAAAAGATGATAGAACATACACTAAAAAAAACCAAACACACACAACATGTTGTCCTCCTGCAAAAGTGTGTAAATTGCACCCACAACAGGAAAAGCGGTTGGCTGCACGGACGGATGGCAAAAGATAAAAAGCTAAATAATAACAATAAACGACAGACGTCACATTAAGCTGCTGCTGCTGCTGTATTTTCAAATCATGCAAGCGAATCCACAAATGTGAAGACATGGAACAGAAATGTTTGAAATTTGCACACAATTCCATGACATCATCATGTTTATTGAGATTTCCCATTAAAACGTTTCTTTTTTCTGGAATTTTGAATCTCAATTACAAGAAAAGAACAATAATAATTTAGTATCAAGCATTTTACTTTATGTTCATTCCATAATGTCATTTATAATGCCATACAAGAAACCCCACGTACAAGTATTAAGATGTAGACAAATAAAATCTCTGAGACAGAAATCTTAAGATCTGGAACCATAAAACCAAATCTGTCCCACTGCATGCAAGGATAACAGACATTAATCAATAACTACATAACTAATTTATGTGTAATTTGAATGACATACACCCTCAAGCAGCAAAACAATAAAGTAGACTGTGGTGAGAATTTAACAACAAGCAAAACTCAAACTGATAAAAATGAGAATTTAATTCAGATTTCAGTTTTCAGAGATTCGACTTCTGCATAAACTCAAATGCACCAGCACGAAACAAAATAATCCCACATTAACTATTAATTGACATTTTTAGCCTCTTTTGCACCCCGTCCTGCTCCTCTTTAACACTCCACATAGTGGACACTGGAATTTCTTCTCCCATCGGGCACTGGGCCTCTTAGGAACTCCTTGACCCTGCAGCATGATCCACTTTGCCCACATTTCCCAGAACGAGAAAGAGCCGCCATGTCTAATTGTACCCAATGGGCTTAATTAGCTTTGCGTGCTGGCGTCGACGTATGCCAGAGGTGGATATATGTATATACTGTAAGAGCCTCTGCATGATAAACACTTGGAGCTGAGCGTGCTCTGCTGTACTGAGCTTGCTCGGCTTTGAATCAGGCTGAATATTTGTTTGGAAATGTGGAGTTGAGGGTAAGCAATCTGAAGAGGAGGGAAGCAGTGTCTATTGAAAAATCTACATGATGACACAAACAATTATGAGGAGAATTCATAACAGGGCCAAGATGGCTCCTTATGACCTATTTTGGATGTTTCTCCTGGCAAAGCAGGAACAGAGGAGAGAGAGTGAAAGAGAGAGAGAGATGACTGAAGTCTATTGGGGCTGAAAGCAAAATATGAAGAGACTATTACTGCTGCTCAGGTCTTTCAGCACCTCTGGTGATAGCAGGGCAGGAAAAAAACAGGCAGAAAAAATGAGAGCTCAAAAAGAGGGAAGGTTCTGGTTAAACATTTGAGAGAAAGAATGGAGGCAAAAGGAGAACAAGAAGTGGAGAAAGTGATACAGAGAGAGATGAAGAAAAGGAGTAAGAGGGCGTGTGGGTGTATGACCAGTGTTGTATTTCATCTCTGTGTAGTGGACGTCTTAATCAACAGTGTCAGGTTTTCTTTTTGGAGGCTGCATGGTGTTTTTCACGCTGACAGCGGAGGCTACACGCGAGTGGCAAACAGGACAGAGAGGAGGCTCATAAGCAGCCCCAGCTTTGCATAAAAATATGCCAAATGCAATATCATTGTTTCATGCGCTTATTTGTTGAACTGTGCAAGAGGAGGAAAACAAAGTTTGACTGTAGAGGCAGAAGACTCGTGCTGACTTGCAAAGCGACAAATTGCACGTCTGAATTTACAGTTTAACAGCAAAATGCATCTAAATGCAGACGTGGAATCAAAGTGGAAAAAAAGTTTAAATTAACCATTTTGTTTTATAGCAAAAACAAAATTTGCTTTTCAGTTCACAGGGGACTTTCTTTAATTAAAGGAAAAGTTGCACACAAAAAAAACCTTTCCCCCTTTCTTCTTCTCTTGTCTTTGAACAATTTTAATAGTTTGTATATGTTTGACACAAGAAGGCTGAAAAAGGATTTAAGAAGGAAAACAGATGCACAATTTATCACACTTGTGGGTAAAAAAAAAACCTCCACTGTGCTGTGGTTTTTCACTTTTCACTTAAATAGTGTATCTTATATCCATGTCTTACTGTTTGTTTAGTGTAAAACTAAGATGCAGAGTTATAACACATGATAATGCATGACATGCAACTGCAGCCAAATAACAAATCCCCTGCATGGAATTGGTCCTATATTATAATCCCAGCAGCTCTACTTCCTATTGCCAATAACTTGCTGTATTATAGAGGTAAACATCCCCACTGAACAGAATATCTCAGTACTTCGAGACTAGTGAGATTATCAGCCAGATGTATTTTAGTTCAATTTCAGATCTTATTAGAACACAAAAGTACATCAATGACCCATTCAGTAAATGTCTACTAGAAATGAATTAATATAAAATGCTTGCTTCATTAATTACTGTTTAATATATATATATATATATATATATATATATATATATATATATATATATATATATATATATATATATATATATGTATGTATGTATGTTTTTTTAATGTCAATTTGCATCGTCCTATTTACTTTTGTACATTTTTTTGCACATGCTTTTATTTTTCTGCTTTAAAGCATTTTATTTTGACATGAGGCTCTTGTTGTATTATGTGTCCATAATAAAAACAAAAAGCAAGATAAAATAAGTACAGTTCTTCAGGATGATGCACGCAAGTATAAAAGTCAGCGTGGTCATGATGAAGAATGGCTCCCCTAAGACTGTCAAATAAATGAGCAGCAAATTTCAGCGCTGTAGCTGCTCCAGGTGCTGTGAGCCCCTTCGGTGTTTTAAAATGCAACAATCACAAATTTATATTGTGCAAAATCAACCATAACCCCTCATAAAAAAATACAGTGGACTTCAAAGTATCTGTGTGGCTATATACACAAAAAATAATTCAGTCGAAAGAATAAAAGTGTATTGCAGGAGTGTGGATGGTAACAACGGGAAAAAACGCAGAGCATTGTGCGCATTCATATGACCCTTTCCGTGCAGACTTCAGTGCATTCGTGTGAAGTAAGGAACATAAAGTTGTGACTGATGATTATTTATTGTAACGCAGGTTGGTCGGTGAAATATGCTGCAAACTTCTTAGCTGTAAACAGTGAGCAGGCCAGGAGAGCTTTTATGGAATACTTGTACCCGTGCTGCGGGAGGGTGACACCTCCTGATTTATGGCTGTATTTAGATAAGACGCCGCCGTAAATGGTTTCTAAATAGCGTCAAGGTCATGTAATGTAATGGGATAATGTTTTTAGGCGATGGCGATAAGATGATGTGTTTGGTGGGCGAGGAGCTGCGCGAGGAAGAGGAAAAAAAATGATAAAGCCAGTGCAGGCCTTCTCCTTCAGGTATGACGCGGACAGGCCGCTGATTCTGTGCGCCAAAAGTAGCTCAAAAAAAAAATCCTCAAGGGGTCATTTACACTTCTCATTACTCTCTGACATTCACGTCATGTTATTATTGGAAAATAAGACGTGGATAAAAATCTGGTCAGGCCTTTTCACTCTGATAAAAATAGTTCTAAACTTTGACATGTGACATAAGAAAATGGCCATTAGCCTTAAAGAAAATATTTTTAAAACCCTTAGATAATCTTTAAAGAAGGACCGAAAAAGAAAAATAATTTCATGTTTTTAAAGCAACTAAATTGGTGAGCACACCGGGGTAAAAACGGATAAAATGATGTCAATTTTACATTTTAGGCATAGTTCTACCTTTTTTATTCGCCCATTCTTTTAAATGTTTAGCTGAACAAAAAGATAAAGTCTGCTTTGGATTATTTGGGATTATCATTAAAAACAGTCGAATTGTCTGAATTTCTGAGTTGGCAAATCTTATTTATTTTTATTTTTGAAATTTATACACACGTCTTTAAAAATTTACATTTTTTATATATATATATTTATTTAAATCTCTGACTCCATGTATTCCAACCTGCAGTTGTTAATTCAAATATAAATGTAGATAATACAGTGCTGCTGCAAATCAGTGGCAGAAATGATTAAGCGTGTATGCCTTAAGAGATGTCAGTGCGTAAAGTTCGTGCGTAAACGCTTTCCAAAAGTAAAACAAGACTTTGAATCCTACAAAGATTTACAGATTTACAAAGTAGCTACTTTCTGCTGCAACATTTTCGGATAGCCGATAGTTGCTCCTTGTGCAGGGTCTTGAAATTGTGGTGCATGTTTTCAGAAGCCTATCCAGACTCTCCTCCCATCCTGGGCGCTGCCCTCCATTGGCTGACTCCTTTTCACGCAGATATCCAAGTCATATAAACCTGGGGCCTCACACCTTCACCAGGGTCAAATTTCTTGGTCAAGTCAGAGCTGCCTCGTTTGGAAACGATTTCAAGAAGGAAACGCAAGTGGAGCCCTGCTCATCGCCGACATTTCTTCTGTGGAATTTAAAACGTTTTTCTCGGCCTGGGCTGAAGCCGCGTTCAGAATGAATACGATGTGAAGGTGGTGGTTGTTTTTGTTTGACTTGTTAATAAATCCAGAGGAAGACGTATTTAAATCTTGAATGATTTCTTTTGGCTGCGGATCCCCGAGCAAAGATCGTTTTGGGGCGGCAGCAGAGAGAGGCCGAAGGGAAACACGGCAACGACCATATTTGCAATCCCGCTCAGCATGAACCTCATCGGGGGTTACCAGCATCACCACCACCTGATGCACGAACCCTTCCCTTTCGTCCAGCGGTGTCATCAGGATGCACCGTACTTCCAGAGCTGGGTGGTGAACCACGGCGAAGTGCCCCCTGATTTCCAGATTCAGGCGCCCTACCCAGCTGCGGAGCTGGGAGCGCCCGGAACGACGCACGATGCCCGGCTGGAAGGGCTCCAGGCCGGGATGGGAAAGAGGAGAGCGTCGGGGCCGAAGAAGGAACGCCGGAGGACGGAAAGCATCAACACAGCTTTCGCCGAACTCAGGGAGTGCATCCCCAACGTGCCGGCGGACACAAAACTGTCAAAAATCAAAACTTTACGCCTGGCGACCAGTTACATCGCTTATCTGATGGACGTCCTGGCCAAAGACTCCGGGGAGACGGAGGGCTTTAAGGCCGAAATTAAGAAATTTGAAAACCGGGATTTGAAACGAAAACGGGAGCTGGTAAGTTACGAGTGTCGAAGTGAAATGCAACCCAACCCAAAGCATTTTTCTGGGATTCGGTAACATGTTAGTCAGTGTAAAAGCAGCTGTAGGCCTGAAAATGATGAATGCTTCAGCATGACCTTTCGGATTGAAGTACCGTTAATGTTTAACCTGCAACCAAAGCCTTTATATCGCTTTATAATTATATCATTTTATTTAATCTCATTTTTCCTTCAAATAATTCCCAGTTATGAGTCCCAGTTGAAATATCGGCCAAATTATATTTTAAACTAACCTAACAAACAATAAAAAAACCAACATTTAACAGTTTGTGCCTGTAAACATTTATGACGTGTTAATTATAGTGAATGCATAATGTTTTCTAACAGTTTCTAATTGTAGATTTAGACTCAGATATTTAGGCTTGAATATGTGCAGGCCTAAAATATTGACATGAATAACAAGCTATTATTAATTATTAATAACAGTTATTATTATTTGTTATTAATTATATAGCTCCTAATCATAGCCGACGAAAAGTAAATGTCCTTTCCTTATTAGATATGCAATAAAATTCTGTTTTAGACAAATGATAAAGTCTTTATCGTTTCTATGTATTTAAAAGATTACTAGTCAATATTGGGGTACGTGACAGGCAATGCCTGATGCTCCGACCCAGGAGCTGACTTACTGTCAATTAGTGAAATCCTGTTATGTCATCGCCCTGAATGCGTCACTAAAACCTCCAGTTTTCTTCAGATTACACGAGGACAAACTTAGACTCCAAATCCAGATTTATTTATAAAGCACATCTAAAAACAGAGTGCATCACATGACACAAAGATTGGAATACAGATAAATATGATGTGCGAAATAGCGCAAAAAGCTCAAATAAAGTAAAAGCAAAGTGGCCCTCAGCTCTCTGTCCTGCTGATTATGTTGTGGTGTTTTGGTCTCCATCCTCATTCTCATCCTCCTCCCCCTCCTCCCACAGACCGACGGCCTGCCGGAGTCCTTAGGAGCCGAGAAGAAGGTGAAAGGCCGGACTGGGTGGCCGCAGCAGGTCTGGGCTCTGGAGCTGAACCAGTGACCTCCACTTCTCAACCCGAAAAAAACTCCTCAGAGACTCTGGATTCAAATCAGATTTAAAATAAAACAAACCACTGAGTGAACCTAAGCACGTCGCTGTGGCCGTGCGGCGATGCGCAAAAAAGAGCGAACTAAAGGACAACACGGGCATAAAAGGTGGAGGGACGGTGGAGAGCTCCAGGAGAGACGTCTTCTTCTCTCGTGCTGTGGTTTCTAAGCCGATTCACAGATCCGATTGTAGGTGTTTGATATTTGTGGTATTTCTGCTTTGTTGATGTTTTCCACCCCTGCGGACCAGATGTCGCGATGGAAGGTGTCAAAAACACATCTGTCTCCCCTTAAATGTGTGTTTACCTGACGTTGTCTTCCCAGTTAAAGGAAATGAAGCAAAAAATAAATAAATTATAAGAAGGTGGAAGAAGTCTTCAGTATGAAGCCATTTAAATTTAGATATGTTTTTTTCAGATCAGAAACACCGGTTTATTTCTCAGTGTTAATAATTTATAGAGTTTTGTTAAACCAGGAAGCAGTTATAAATTTCAGTTTTGTGCGTGTTGGCGTATTTTTTCTTCCTTTTTTCTTAAAAAATTAATATTTCATTTCTTACCCTAAACTTACTGTACTTAATTTACTTAATGCTGACACAAAAACGTGTACAAAATAGGAATAATTTACATGTCAAAAATAAAATTAAAATGTTAACTTTTAAATCATGGATCGAGTAAGTACTAAAAAAACCGGACGATTTTTATAGATGTCTGGCTTCTAAAGATACAATCAAATAAACGGAAGCCGGAAGAAACACATCATGAAAGGGGGGACACGTTTTTGTTTATCACTGTTCCATCCCGCTGTATTATTTCATTTTCAGGTATTTTCGTCCACAGTAGGTTTTCCCAGCTCAATTATCTCCCAACAGACCCTCTGTGTGTGTGCGCGTGAACTCTCCGGGCTGTTGTTTCGCGTAGGAATCGTATTGAATTTACTGAATCTACCTCAAATACTCTACACGATGTCACTGTCCGCTGGGAGAAGACACCGACTGTTCAGTTACCGCAACTTTATTCACTCCGTCATGTAAAACTTAAAAAACAAAACAAAATCAAAAGACCCAATAGGATAAAAGTTTATTAATGTGCGCAGTGGTGATGGAAATGTGCATTAGATGTGAAATTATATATATATAGTTCCGTAAATAAATGATTATTTTAAGACACTAGCTGTGTTTGGTGAAAGTGTTTTTTTCCCCATCATGTTTAAAATTATTATCATTATTATTATTATTATTGTTGTTACGTAATTTTTTTAGCCATGTAGGTGTTGGTCCCAAGTAAGAAAAAAAAAACAACGAAAAACCAAAGAAACCTAAATCTTGATATGGACAATAAAGTTTTTTTTTCGAACAGCAGGAATTTTTTTTTCCTTTATTTAAAATTTAATATTTCTAATTCCTTTTTTAAATTCTTACTTTTACTCATTTTCTTCCCAACTGAGTTTGTTTCACCAACACAAGTTATATGTAGACCCACATCTAAATGATCCATTTGTTAATAGTTTTCTGGTATGTTTTAAATCTACATATAATTTGAAATAACATAAAAAGCGCTATCGTGTTAACCGGATGCTGTTCAACAAATTCATTACTTTGAAAATGTAACGCTGTCCTTATCCTTTAAATAATTTCCACAGGTTGACAGTCTGCTGTTCTCCACAGTTCCCTTCATATTATTTATTTATTTATCATTCTTTTGCAAAAAGCTAAATAAAAGAACAGCGTGAAGTAAGTGTTGTTTCCAAATGTAAGAAAAAAAAAAATCAATGGACTGCAGTCGCGCTACAGTAGCAACAGTGACGCCTTGTGGTCGATGGGCGTCATTGTAAAAATACAGCATGAGGAAACTGCAACTTTCAACCAAGTAAAAGAAAACGTTTTCTTCATCTTTAAATATAGTGTGGAGGAAAACATGTAGGACAAAGTCAAGGCCTCTGAATCTCCAGTGTATTTCGTTTAAAAAAATAAAAAATAAAAATACAGTGCCAATCTGTTAGAAAGCATTAAATGAAGAGCTCCAATACAGTTTAAACATCAGTCCTAATAAACTTAAAATACTTTGATGCTAAAGTACTATAAGAACTTATCATATAGGATCATACATTAAACCACTGAAGCATAATGTGTATATAACTTTATTTAAAAATATTATCTCCAGCTGTCCAGCGATGCATTACTTACATGTTCTGCTTCATCTTTAGTGACAGAGCATAAGGTATTTCTAGATTGTACTTTTTAAAATAAGTGGCATGGAGTACAAAGTATAATCTTTACATAGAAAACACTTAAAGCACATCGCTGGTTCTATTGTATAATTAGTCTGGTGTTATTGACCTCTGGTCACAACATGTTAAAAGAGCAGAGATGAGGCTTTTTCTTCTTCCTGTACAATACATTTATTTATATTAATAGGAGCAACAAGCAGTCATACTTAAATATGTTTCTTTTTCCTAATACAACAATTAGGTTAACGTGGCATGACCTACACATTAATAAAGATGGATGTTACCTACATGACACTAACAAACCTACAAGCAAAATTTAAAATGTGACACTTAAAAAAAGAGAGCGAGGGAGAGAGAAAAGGACAAATCTGACACAAATCGTGCGCACAATTATCCAAAGTGCACGTACGATCCGTGCCTCCGCCACCATAAAAGACAAAGAGGATGTGTCTGTAAAACAGCAAAGATGTCCGTCACCTGGAGGTTGCAGCAGTGCTTTAAAAATTTTTAAATAAACTTATAGGTCGTCAGCAGCGCGTTTGCTTTATCACATTAAGTGTTTTTAAACACATCAACAGGTGGTTAACGGTGGCTAGCAACCCAACAGCTCCCACTCATTTCCCATCACTTCAGGCAGCTTAAAAAAAAAAAAAACAGAAGGGAAAAAAAAGGAACTGAACAAAAGTTAAAAAAATTAAACAAAAAGCCAAACGTATTATTTCTTCTGCTTTAAATGTAAATAACTGAGTCTATACAGAGAAAAAACATGTTGCTGTTTGATGCCATTTTACTGCCAAATGAATCGTGCTGGACTGAAGCAGCAGCAGCAGCAGGTTCACCACTATGAAAAGGTTTGTTTTAAGTTTTTAAAATTTTAAATCTCACCCGCCGATACGGAAGAAGGGCATCCACATGTAACACATATTCAAAATTGTGAATAAAAGAAGAACATTAATTTTTTTCTCCCACTTTCACCAGGCTAACCTGTCAGCCCACTTTGGAGGAATGAAATTAAGAGCAGAGATTTTATCCGCTGTAAACACCGTCGGATGGCAGCACAATACAGCCCGACCATTCATGCGAAACAGCTTTCACTTAATGTGGAAGGAAAAAAGAAAATAGAAATGATATATGCAACCAGACACAACCTTTGAACAACTTGTGGAATTAAGGCTGAACTAAAGCTTACTTAAACTTAAACTGGGTTACAGAAATAAAGAAATCAGCATGTGTATGTTCACAGGTTCAAAAGAAAAAGAAAAAAAAAGAAACCACTAACAAATAGACTGAGTCACAACGTATCACATCCTTACTCGGTTCTTCTTCCTTTAATGTTTTACACAACATTTATAATCATTATCTTCACCATTTGCAGCTTTTAAAGAGTGAACCTGAGCCTTAATGTTCTGGATGTGACTTCAGACCAGGGTGGCATTTCTTTTCCAACAGTCACGTATGAAGAAAGAGGGAAAAATCCCACTTATCATCGCATCATTCAGCTCCATCTCGCAGTCCCGTTTGGCACAAGCATTCCTCACTGTGAGCGTGTTTAACAGTCAACTTGGCAAAGAAAACCAAAATTACCAAAAGTTGTTTTGTTATTTTTTTGACTCTTAAGGCAGGATACTGCATTCAGCTGAGTCGCTTGAGTCGGACGCTGTTCTTTTGTACATAGACACAGTTGTGTTACAGTATGACGACATAAAACTCTGCAGAGTGAGTCCTTGTAATCAGCAGTCTTTATGGTCCTGGCTTTCGTAAATCAGGGAATACCTTGGAGAGGGCAAAGTCAAAAGGGAGAGACTGGATTTCTGTGAAGAGGGCCAAAAAGCCAAAATGAACTCATCTCACCCTGGATTTCTGTTTTGAGTCCTTTAAGGACAACAGCAGTTCGTGTCCTGTTCTCAGAGGGGAGCAGGAGGGTGCAGAGGAGCCGTTACTGAAGTCCAGGTTTTGTCTGTAGCTACAGTTGTTGTTGTTGTGGTTGTAGCTTCCGCTGTGATTGTTGTGGGGGAAGTTTAGTCCAGGGGTTTGCCACCGTCCCCTTTCTGGTCCAAGCGGCTCTTGCTGCTCTTCACCATGTAAATAAAGTAGGTCAGCGTCTCCTTCTCGTTCACTGGAATATTCCGGAAGTGACGGCTCACCGTCTGCAGAAGGGAGAGAAAGAGGGAAGCGGTTAAAAGAAAAGCGATATACATCGTTTGTTTCAGGGTTGGTAAGCGAAAAGACTGAGACTGCATACCTGACTGCTGAAATCTTCCTTCACACCATTAAATTAAATCCCCAGAAAGAAATCTGGATCCAGATTAGTTTGCGATATTTGTAAATGAGAACATGGCGACACGGTTTCTCATTTTTCTGCAATTGTGAAAAATTTAACTTTTCCATATCTCGCACTGGTTTCCCTAGAGCCAGATTTGGAGAAACTTTAAAAGTTGATCACTTCTAAGTTGGCCCCTCCTCTGATATGATGTTTATATGAGTCAGTCACATGATAATGAGCAGCTTTTTTGGGAGTTATTATTTGAGAAATGCTCCATTGTTGTCCAAAAAATGAGAGCGACTTTCATACTTCTTTAAAAAGCAACCCCGTGATTCCTCTTAATCAGCTTTGACTAATAAGTTGTTTAAAACTATGTAAACACACCTCTTACAAACATTGTAGGTGCCCTCTGGACACCTACAATCCTTGCTTTAAGAAGAGTTGGTGCTTTTAACCTCTTCTTGGTTATTCATTTGCACAGAGGGCCAAGTGATGCATCAATCAAAAGCAAATGGAGTTGAATTTATAGCTCAGGGAACAAAAACATTTTACAGAGTGAAAACAACACTACAGTACAAAGCTGGCTCCAGTGAATTTATAATTACTGGAAATAGTCCTTGCGGTGTCTGCACTGAAAGTGTCGAGCACCAAAAGCACCGGGCCTAAACTAAACACTGAAAAATAGCCATTTGTGTTCTTTACCTCGACTTTTACAGAGCCAAACATCCTCTGCACAGCCTCTCACATTGCTATGGTTCTCCTGAACACAGGACAGCTGTAACTGGTTGTGGGGCTGTTGACTGGTGTTTTATTAATGATGTGGTAGGCTCATTAATAGGAGGGTTTGAATGTGACTAAAAGCCTGGGGAAACATCCAACTTACAGCCCAGTTTGATTTCATTCATTCCCACTGTTAGCCCAACACCACATGCGACCCCAGCTGACCCCATCTCAGGATGACCGGGAGCGCAAAGCACAGAAGGTAATTATAAGGACGAGGGCGGAGCTGGCTGCACCGAGTCCACCTGTCGATTTGGGAAATCAGTCTAACAATTTGCCATTACAGCTGAATGGGAGCGCCAACACTTCCTATATCACAGCAGCATACACTAATGAGAGCAGCTCAGTGATCAACATTCCCAAAGAAAAGAAAAAAAAAAGAAAAATTAGTGAGATGTACTGGATTAAAAAACACAAATCCACTCTCACGGTAGTCTCCCTGATGAAAGAGTTAGGGTACACAACACCCTAAATGAAAAGCAGCATCTGCTGTTACCTCTGCCAGCTGGGCCTTGTTGAGGCCGGGCCTGGTCTGGAGCTTGTAGTGTCGCTTGTAGCGTCTCAACGTGTTCACTTGCAGCTGGAAAAGGTCCACCTGAAATCACCAAGAGAAGCAGGGACTCAGTGAGTGGGTTCAAAGTGATGAGCTTTTTGGGGGTTTTTTTTAATCTTGCTTTCCATGGTTTATGCAAGGCTCCCAGTGGCTTCTGCCTCTTTTTCAGCTTTTAAAGGAGCTGAAACTTTAATGATGCACAGAGAGAAAGTGGGTCAATGCAGCATGAAAATACATGAAAACAAGTAAATCCAGAACAGATTTATTTTTCTTAAAGAAGGAAATTGTGGCAATCCAAATGTGGTCTGAGCTTAGTGCTGCCTTCTCAAATATGGCTGCACTG